TGCTGACTGCCGCGTGTGTCGGATGGGCACGTTCAGGATAAAGGGAAGCCCGAACTTGCGCTCGTCTGCCGCGGTCAGCTCCGATCTCGGTACGTCGGACGAATGTGTACCAGAGCGGGAGATAACTTTGTCGTGTGCCACCACCTGCATGTTCGTTTGGATATGTGGAGTGGTCTCCTCTATCCGCAAATGCGAACTGGGATTGTCACAAGGCCCCTTCGAAATTATTTGGTACCTTGTGACTAGGCCGCGGTTGCGTTTAGCCCCGATGGTCCCACACTACCAGTTACGACGAACCGAAAAAAAAGTAGTGACCAAAAGCTGTCGGGCTAAAAGGGTGGGACCGCAAGTAAAACGCAGTCGTGGTGAAGGCGTGTTAGGATCCCGTGATTTAAGCAGCCAGCCTATCAAAATCCGGGTCACAGGTTGACACCCCGGAAATTTTCGGGGAGGGGCCTCTCCGACTTGAGTTGACTCCGCTATCACTACCATTAGCCGATCAGTATCTTATTGCATCGACGCTCGCGCTTTTGCCCAACAGACTATCGATCGGGGGTGCTTGCTTGAGACGGTTCTGTCTGTACTATTGCGGCTTTACTCTCCTTCTCTGAAGCGAAGCCACTGTCACTTCAATCGTGTGACTAAAATTTGTTGACATTTCGTTACTCCATCCAGCTGGAAGAGCTGGAGTGTCTGTCTGCCTGGGAATGAATGCAAGCAGTTCAGAATTGTGCAACGGGGTCATATAAGGGTGGCAGACTGCTGAGGCAATTCGACCGCGTACGTGCATGGCGCACGCGTTCATTCAATACTGGGCAGCTAAGTTTTCGAGAGATGAAGCAAGATGATTCCTGCGCTAATTACTCTTTTGAACACTCAGCATCGTTGATTTTTTTTGATGTCGCTCATGAAAGCGTCAGTTGGACGTTTATTTTGCAACGAGGTCAAGACAAAGCCGCCATTTGCGGAGAATCGAAGTGTCGAACCGTGTTGGGTGACTCTTCAGGTAACGTCCGTCCAACATCCTGTGTATGTCGTCAGTGCGGTGCGTACATACATGACCGCACGCGCGAGAGATGATTTCATTTTTTAAGAGATCATCGAATAATTTCAGGGGAAATTTTACATCATATTCATGAAGAATACTTGCTAAATCTTGTCAGAAATATTGCACCGCCGCTGCTTGCATGCTTTGTGGTGTAGAGCTCATTCTGATAGAGTAAAGCTAAATGGAATAATTCTGAATTGGTGATTCCTGTTATTGAGGATTTATTCTCTGTGTGCCTTGCAGAGTACCGAAGAAGCAACAGAAGCCCCTTTTAGAGCAGTTTGTGTTTTTAAGCTTGAAATGGCGAGCAAATTTAAAAGAACAGAAGCTAAATTAGCAATCGTATCGCTTAGCGAAGTTATGCTTTGCTGCAGCGAGCTGGATCTTCAAAATAAAATAAAATAGACACGACCAATATTTGTCACGCTTCGCTTGTATGTTCATGAAGACTTGATTGGTTTTCTTTTGTCGTGAGAGTCGTCAATATGATAAGGTTAAGCCCTTTCAGTATCAACAATTGTACGCGTTTTACTGATGAATCTTTTATCGATACAATGCAGACAATATAAACAAGAAAACTAGTTTTAGGTATGCGCTTAGACAAAAGATCACGGACAC